TCAGGCGATAATTCTGGAGTTTTTTGGCCGAAACGTCGGCTTTGTTATGTTCGTGTCTTTCGGTTGCTATGGGCGACCGTTGCTTCCTTTGTTAGGTCAAATCTGGGGAGTGAGGTCACAAAAAATTCTAATAAATTCTGGTTTTGTTCGATTTCGCTGAAATTTTAACATGATAAAGCTGGATTGTTAAGGAATAGATTTACCGTCTGCCGATGTGTGGTAGCTATTAACGCTACAGTGATACATTGCTTCAAAGTCGGGGTTTTGAAGAGATTTTTTTTGCAACGTGAGGGTTCGGCGTGATCTTGTAATCGGAGGTTTTTGTTGACCCCAAAGGAAAAATATCCAGAAAAGGTCATTTCATCGACGATTCAAACGAATACAAATATGTATATGTTCCGAGCTAAATGTCTGGTGAAAAAATATAATTTTTGATGAGCGCTGGGTTTTTAATTTTTTTCCCGTGAAAGTCGGCATCGGAGATGAGATTCATTAATGTCTCAACAGCTTTTGGCGAGTAAACATCACAGGTTGCGTGACTCAAAATTTGGCCAAGTGGAAGCTTGGGTCTGGTTGCCGACAAATCTACAAAAAAAAAAAACCCACAGGTAAACCATGAACTGCGCTCGGCCCATGGCTGTGCAGTTAAAAATAAATACAGAGTGGTAAACAAGCAAGTACCAAACATTGACATCATCTGTGCCATTAGGTACCTGTAGTAGATACGAGTGGGGGAAAAAACTTTCAATTTACAGATAATAAATAATCAAGGTGGTGTTTGCACGGCTGGGTGGCAAGATTTGTCAAACAACAGGTCATATATTTGTCAGTTAAATGTTTCTTCTCTTTAATGCATTGTTCAAAGCCTGATTGTAAAAATTTCAAATGTAGTGAACCAAATGATATCAGCAATTAGACCATCCTATAGGCCACAATGTTTGTCATCGCTGACAGACCTATAAAAAAGTAACATTTGGCAACTGAGCACACTGAGCCCTTTGCATTTTACCAGCCATGCTGCTGAAAAATATCTTGAGTTGGCCCTAAAGACCACAGTGGAAATTTGTTACATTTTGTGAGTGAGATGTAAATTTAGAATTTTCAAGTTTCAAAGCCAAAAAAAAAGAGATAATCAGCACTTTATGGCAACAAAATTATTCTGAGTGTGGTCTGTTTTTATCTGTGAACTTTCAAAGTGCAACTGTTTCTCATGCAAAGATCACGTGCAGAGTCAGCCAGTTCCTTTGTTGTCTCCACATGTCACATCAGCTGTTGTGATACGTTAAATGGTCTTACATTAATGCATGGATAATTTGTGCAAGGTGATTATCAACAGCAGCACATAAGATGCTATGTTTGATATTCTCTTTCAGGGGGGCAGCTGTAACACAGGCTAGTTTTCAGCAATATTGCTGATTACCATAATGTACAATCACTTGAGAAAGTTATCAAAATTCCACAAACCAAGACTGGTAAAAATATTGACCAAACATTTACATAGTCCAAAGCCACTGCCAAACCCAAAGATACAAACAAAGTCTCAATTTGCATAATCATGGCAACTTAAATTTTTTTCACATTTGCCACAAATTACACATAACATGACAAGCAATTGTTAGAAAACCTGAACTCTTGAACTTCGAATAAATTCAGAAACCATGCACCATAAAGCAAGCGCTGCATACTTGTATGTTCTGCAATATTTATAGATCATTTTGTGGCTTCCATTCAGATTGTAGGTTTATAACTGTTTAGTCACGTAGTTAAAGGACAAGTTATTGGTAGACAGAGCAGCACTAACAATGATTTCAATGCATGACTGACATGATTGATTGGCTCTAGCATGCTTTGAAGTCGAATGACTAGCAACCATGAATTTGTAAATCAATCAAGTCTCGACTGTCTCCCCCTCTCCTGTTTTTTAAGTTCCACAGGTAGTTATCACTCAGACTAAATCGCAAACAGGCAAATTCTAGTAGTAACAAGAATGTGAAACTGCTGCGTGAATCACAACACGTGTGTAAACAATATTGATGGAAGGCAGGAATAAATAACTCTCGCACAAGGGGGCAAGCCATGTTAACTTGACCCCATTCTAAATTTAGGTTTCCTTAGAATATTTTTTCCTTTTGAAATGCAAATCATAATTTTAATTTCGAAGACAATAAAAACATTATTGATAACAGCTTGACTTGACATGCATGAGAAGTTAATCAAATATCCTGAACTATACACCCCTCTTAAACTCTTTTCAAAAACAAAAATTGGGTGAAAGACTGTCTTTCATTCTGTATATCTTTGTTCCACACTTGAAAGATACAGTGTATGTTATTTCATGTTATTTCATATTGCTTACAAAAATTATACTCACAATAATCACAATTATATTACTTGGCTTGTAAAATTTTCGTAATTTTAACAGCCTTTTTATGATTGTACAATATTTTTCATCTAACTTGGCAACAGGAATCATTAAACCTATCAATGCCAATTCCAGCAGCAAAATTCAATTAATTATTCATGATCAAATTTTTTTTTCTATAATGTTGCCAGCCAGTATTACAGCAAACGTGAGATGAATATTGATTGAGCTAATACATATTTTCTGAACCTTTAGGGACCCTAATAGTGTACAGTAGCATCACATCAAGAGTTAACAAGAATTTTGAAATTAAGTTTGACAGACAATAAATTTAATATATAAAAGATAGTGATCTATATTTATTTTTAGCAATTTTTGTGAGAAAGTGAGTGAGTTTTCCAATGAAGCTTTCAAAGCAAATACTGCAAAGGAAAAACAAACCTTTCCCATATTGACCGCAGTGTTTTTAGTATTGCTATACACAGAGTATAATTATTCACAAACATGATGTAAAGGTGAGATGATTTTTTCATTTCAAACACTCATCTTCTGAATCATTTTCTAACACAACGATAAGGGCAAACTTAAACAGCACAACTTTGCCACGTAAGACAAACCTATGACATGACATGAAAAATGCCACAGGATTCTGAACTGTCTTATTTTAAAAACCTATGACAGCTGTAGTGTCATCAAGGATTGCATGAAATTTTTGTATGACACAAGCAATGGGTGCTAAGGAGTTTGGTGCTTTAAATAAGGTCAAGCGCAGCCAAAGCTCCAGCACGTATTCTGCTGGAAATCAATAGCTACATTGGTATAATTCTAGCAGGTTCCAAATCATGGCCTCTTTTGTTACTCTCTCAGGTATTGCAGCAGGGTAATGTAACCACATCCCAGTACTTCAAATCTTGTGGAAAGCACTAGAAGGACTTTACATGTGACAATGTTGTCCTGTCTAACTTAACTCTCATAATGATCACATGCTCAGATCATCAGTCTGTGAAACCAAGTTTTATAAAGTGGATATTACTGGAGATGGGAGAAGCACAGATAAACTTTCCAATATTTTCAAAAAAGGACATGGAGAGGTGATTCCCGTTCAGGATCTAAGCAATGTTTTTTCCTAAACCTGCACAAGAATACTGACTTTCTCATTTGATCATGCAGCCAAAGATATGCAACAGGTGATTAAATGTACATAAAATAATAGGTCTGCAAGAACAAATTAGTTTTGTACTGGCAATAGACCTTATCACAGTTTTTGACGCCATCTTGATGGCTAGGCAAAGTGGTCAGGAATTACAGTGTTTGTATGGGAATCAGATGGCAAATAACTTTGTGCAAAATTGAATTTTAACACAACTTGTGAATCGCAATGTTAAAATACTAGGTGGAAGATTGTGTTCACCGAGTTTGAAGGATGTAGCTTGGCTAGAAGATGCTCAGTTAATTTTTCTAATCTTCCATACATTTGTCTGTAAATTTGGCTGAGTAGATGCGGTTCGTGGGAAAAAAATAACAGACAAATGTATGGAAAATTAGAAAAAATTAAGTGTCTTCTAGCAAAGCTACCTCCTTCAAACTTGGTGAATACAATCTTTTACCTAGTATTTTGATGTTGTGATTCACATATTGTTTAAAATTCAATTTTGGAAAAACTTATTTACCATCAGATTCCCGTACTAACACTACAATTTCTGACCGCTTTGCCTACCCATCAAGATGGCGTCGAAAACCGCAGTAAGGTCTATCATATAACAACCCTGTAAAAATTCCCACCGTGTTCTGACAGATAGACACAGTTTACCCCAGTTTTAAATCTGCAGCTGGCTTGCAGTCAGAAATGATGTTAAGTGGAATTCCTATTCGGGGCATGCAAATGTTCATGCATTGCTCAGATAGCTTCAAGTCATTTTTGTTAGTTCAGCGAGGAAGCACGCTGACAACCAGTCTTCCATGTTTACTACCCTCCCACCCAGAGAAAATTTGCTTGCATTGATAAAGCCCAGACATTTTGCCTCATCATTGTAAAGTGATTTTAAATTACAAAAAAAAAACACAAAAAACAGAAAAAGAGCTCTAAGGTAGAACAAAAGCTCAGCTGCTTTCTTAATCTGAAAACCCACTAAGTCTGACCTCCTTGAGGACAAAATAAGTGACTACCTTTTGGAGTTGCCAAGCCTTTCATCCATTTAATTAGACCACCCAAAATGCCCTTGAATGAGTTAAGTGGCAAAAGGCAATAGACATTGGGTAAATACCATTACTTTCGCTTCCAGTGAAATGTGTCATAAGTCAATTAAGAATCAGAAGTAAATAAGACAGTTATGGTGACCTAAGCTATAAACATTTTTTACAGCCCATCTCGGTTTGTATGAGGCACTTCATCCAGTTACCTTTAGTTTTAATTCGTCTACTGAAAATCTTGATAGATTACTAGGTAAACCAAAAATGTCAAATAATGCATAAAATGTCTCACCTCCAAAGAGATATCGCTGACATTGATGTTACACTTTTCAAGTTGTTTCGTAATCTCATTCACAGCTGCATCGTCCACTCTTCTCTTTCTCTTCCCTAAGTAGAATCGTATTTATTTAAAAACTGTATTCTAATATTTTAGAAAGTGAACAAATTAGCACCCATCTGTTGCTACTTGACCTGCCCTGAACTGTAGAATTTCTTATTTATTTTTTTAACTAGATCTGTAAGCATGCTTCTTTTGCTCATGCTAAAAATAGATTTTATTGGGCGTGTTTAGACTAAATGCATGTACATCTGTCAGTTACAGCTGTAGAGAACTGAAATGTTCCAGAAATCAAGTAGTATTCAGTCGAAAACCTGCTTGGTATATTTCTGTGTACGAGTCATAAATTTTCAAAAAGACTTCACACATATTTTGCGGACATACATATGTTAGTCAATCACAGAGATTCCCCCCCACGTTAAATTCTCTAGTACCCATTTATACACCTGGCTGGAGAAAGACACTGTGACAGTAGTGTCACAATACAATGCCCCTGGAAGGGTTTGAAACAATCTAGAGTCCAGCCCACAAATCATTAGGCTTCCACGCCTCCACAACACAGACAGTCCACTAAACAGATTGTGTACAAATAGACAGTCCAGATTGTGTAGTTCAAGCCATATTTGCACTGCTTCCATGGCAGAATTCTCCGTGGCAAGGTGCATTTTCTTTTTACAAAAATTTGGTTGTTCATGATCAGTTAGCTGAAGTGTAGAACTTGACAAAGCAGTGCTTCAGTGGCACTCTACTCCTGCATGTTCCTACACAATGTACATGTACAAACTTGATTCTAATCATTACATTATAATTAAGAAACCAAGAAAACATGAAAAAAATACTTCTCGTATATTACAAAGCAAATCAAAGCGTTGGAATCGCGCTTCACAAGCTGTGATGTTCTTGCAAATCTGCCAACAGGCTTTGGAAAGATTTAAATTTATCCAGTGTTTTGTTTGGCAAAGCTTTCCGCCTCCAACCTGACTGCGAGTGTGTTAGTGATTTCACCACTCAACAGCATCGTCTAAGTCAGCGAATATAAATTCACTGAGCTTGGCCTTTCTGCCGTTCATTTTGAAAGATTGAACCAGACTTTCACTTGAAACCGGACATTCACCTGAAACTTTCCACTGCTATCGGCAAACATTTCACCGCAGTTGGATGATCTCCTATGTATAATGTATAATGTATAATGTATAATGCATGTAAATTCTCGGTTGAAACTTTGTTGAAATTTTCCCAATAACTTTTAGACGCAGCAAAAATCGTTACAAGACGCCTCATTCACCGTCTTCTTTTTAAAACTTCTTTGGCATTTTCACTGAATGAACACTGAATGAAGATATACTTCTCATGGCATATGTTTTTGCCTGGCTACTTGAAGAGTAGAGTAGAGCAATTTTATTCAGATCTCCTGGGGCTATTGACAACAGGCGAGAATAAGAGGACATCAAGATGAGAAATCCTACACCGAAAAATCACTCGGCTGTAAAAGGGCAAACTCTTGGGCTTAGGCAGTAGTCCCTCCTTTCGCACGCTCCTAGCCCCCAGGATTTCACACAGCCATTTTTTTCTCACTGTTTTCTTTCGTGTCACACACAACGGACTAAGCGAAAGAGGGACTACTCGTAGTCTAAGCAGGCCTAGGAGGTCAACTGGTTTTCACAGGTGGGCAAAGCTATTTGACCTGAAAGTCCTTCTAATATAAGAAAAACTTTCCTCTAGATGGTCAAACCAGGCCGGCAAAATCATCCTCAAAATTGGGCAATTTGCCTGGTGCCCCGCCCTTAACAAAACCCCTGACTGACCAAACAGGATAGTTATAATTCTGGCAGTGAAGTAACAAAAATAAAGATGGTTTATTTATAATTTGTAAAACACAATCTCCTTGTCTATATGGAAAAAATGGTTGATAGGACTTTCTGGCAACCTGAGTGTAAAATTTCCTGACTTTCCACTGACCTTGAAGTTAATCGAGTTTTTCCCTGACTGTGGCAACACTAATTAAGGTGTTTACGTATACTACGGCAGTGTTCATATTACAGTAATGTTCAAATAATACAGAGTTGTCAACTGGCATTATGCAGGTGTCCAAACTCATGCCTATAATCAATTGTAATAGGTTTTGTTCCCAGAATATTCTGAGAAAACCTCATGTAATGCATGGGTGGAACATAACTCATAATGCTCCAAATACATCAACAGAAGACTGCACATGTACATAGTGAGTTTGAATTAGCCATTGTTATCTCTTAGATGCTTTCTCTTATTTCAACATCTTATGCATGGGCTGTGTTTTTGTTTACATCTGTGTATTAGATTGTTAACATGATTCTTCTTCCGTTATAGTCTTTTTGATGATAAATGTGTTCGCCCATAGACAGGATTACTAATCATAGTTTAACTGACATTTAACATTATTTATTTAACAAAATAAATATTCCTGCCAAAAAAATGTATTTGGCTTAGTATCAAACATGGACGTAATGAACCTTGAAAAAGATTTTAATTACTTTAACAATATGAATGTGATTAGTAAATTGACTCACCAGATTGGAGATAATTTTGAGTTTGAAAAAAGCTGACAGACAATTTTAGTACTGTGAGCTTATCCAGCTTTGACCTGGATTCTTCAGGCAGTGGAAGAAGACCTCCTAACTCTTCCAAGGTTGCATTTATCTTTTCTCTATGGCGTCGAGACGCACTCTGTGGCACTTTCGTCCTGTGTTTGTGGCACAATATACTTTTAATTAAAAATAATTGGTAACATAACACTACAGGAAACATAATAAACCAAAGTCTGGTTGATTATCGTGTAAATATCTCACCAACTTCCATTTCACTTCGTAATAAAAGGAAATATCATTGGCAGCTATTTTAAAAACTTATAAGCAGCAGTCAGTATATACATAAAGCAAATGAACCATTACAATAATTATTCATTTCACAATAAGCGTAACTGAGCTATTTTAAGCAAGCCTTTTAGGATGCAAATAATGTTGTCTACAGTAATAGCTAGGAATACCAGCTGTGATCAACATACCTTTAGTGACTTTACTTTGAAATACCTTAGCATGAACGAGTCAATAACTTTAATTTATATAATTCGACACTTTTTAATTTAAACTTGCATGAACCTTTCATTACATTACAGCAGTACTTAATTTATGATAAACTATACATGCACCAAATGTCAGCTGCCCAGACATCTGTTAGCCCATGAAACAGACAAATCCAACAGTTCCACAACTATCTTTAGAACAAAAATATATAGTCTAGATAATATTTGGTTACATACACATGTTGGGGGATAATTTGCTATTTCCTTTTGTTCTGGTGTATGGTTATACACATACATTTATATTATAATGAATATGAAACAAAGACAAATACCAAAAATTATTTTACCAAGGGTAATGTAACTGAACCACATCATCTACACCAAAGTGGCAAAGACAAACAATCATTTTTAATTAAAATGCACAAAGGGCCGGTTAATGATTCAAAGAATGCACATATATGTACTCAATAAACGGGTATCCAGGAATGAAGGTCAGAGTAACTGCCTGAAGCGGTTCAAGCTGACCTAAACTATGGAAAGAGTATCAAATTGTCACGGAATCAAGTCTAGTTTTCCCATTCAGTCTGGTACATCAATTAGCAGGTGACTTCTACAAGGTCTCAAGACACCATACACATGGCAAGTCATAACAATAGATTCTTAGTTTGCTTTTGGTTTTTGAATGTGTTAACTAACAACACGCAACTTCCTGAGCAAATCTGGGTTTATTAGAAGTGTATTTTCAATTTCAAAACAAGCAAGCATACCATTATGATTTAACAGACACATCTTTATAGTAAACAGAGTTAAATTAACTTTTGGTTTGTTTGTGAAAGATATTTGTTTAAGGCATGATAATGGCCACCAGCAATTTATCTTCACCGTTTTCAAGCTGACAATAATTTCATTTACCTAGCCTCCAGACATCCTGCTTTACTAGTATGAGTAATTATTGGACTTGAATTTTACCCTGGCCTAAAATCAATTTTTATTGTTTCAGTTCTCAGACAAAACTAATTTTATTGACAGTCTGCTGGATTATTAGATCTTGGGATGGCTTTTGTGAGAGTTTCATATTCAAAGTGTGTTCACTGTCAGCAAGACTTAGGCGATAGTAATCTCAAGAATGCATCAGTACCAGTAGCAACATTCTTCTAGAGAATTTTGCTACAGAGAGTATTCTGGGACAGTTGTAAATATAAGATACAGGTCATTAACTGTTCTTAAAACTAAAATTAGTCCAAACTCAGTTTTTGGTCAAAAGAATTTCTTTCAAGTGTTGATCTAACAAGCAACTTAATATGTCTGCATAGTTTCAAAGATTATCAGTAAATTGTTTTGCAGATTTACAGGTTGAGCTGACTTCTCAAATGTTGCTCACAGAGGTTTTCAGCTGTTAATTATACAAAACAACATATTGAATCAACTCAATTTTGCCCTGGGGAAACCCTGTAGAAGACTAATCAATCATCAACTCATTGATGTGTCAGGGATCCCTTTTATTTTTAAACATTGTCTAGCTCACAAGATCTGCACTAATTTTAGCTGTTGAAATGGTTTGTTGTCTCAAAAAATATGAGATTCTTTACACCATCACCCAGTTCAAGCTTAACATTTAAATCTGATATCTGAGAATGCGTGGTTTCTGTGCACTTTGCTCCATGGCCATTCATATGCACTGCCACTCCTCAAGAACAAACAGATTTTCAGATAAAAAAATATTATCAGACAAAATAACAATGCATCTTTCAAAACGCGACCCCTTGAATGCAGCCTTTGAAGGAACATTTAGTAACAACAATAATTGTTGCAACAGATTTTGGCATTAAGCTTCAACATAATTTTCATGGACTCACTTGAGTAAAGTAGCTATTTGATCAATTAAATATAATTTTGTCAAGAACATCAACTAATCACACCACCCTGTTACCAATAATCTGTAGTTGGTCAGATAAATTTTAAATGCATCATTAAGCATTTTTATCTTTTTTTTTTAACCATTCACTCAATATAGCACGTGTGAAATAAAGGATTTTTGAAGCCGTAACTCTCAGCTAATGATACACTCTGGGGTGGTCACATGTGAGGGTTTCCTTGCATCAAAAGTACTTCCTTGACCTTGTAGGAAGTAGATCACTACACTAAAAAGACCCTTCAATTATTGAGACCTTTTTAGCTGTGGGCTTTAGCTGTGGGCTTGTCCACTGATGAAAAGTTAAATTCTCGAGTGAAAAGGAATGAACAACCAGTTGAATCAACAATGAAATATTACGAGGAAGAGTACTTGGAAATGCAAAATGCAAGCGTTCAAGTGTTCTCATTAATTTGCTATGCTTATTTCCGCTACAGCCGAACACAATCTTTCGCAGATACAATAATAGTCCTTAAATAAACTAAAAGACAATCAAATTATAGCGCCGATGGCACCGAATAACTTAATTTATTTTCATTCCCTCTTTTTCTTAATTTTTTCGATTTTTATCGCCTGCAATTCTTCTCCACTTCGCACCATCACCGAGCACACTAATTTATAAATTATACATTGTGAATTTTATCTTCACAATACACCTTACACCGGGGCTAAAAATTATAAAAGATTGAGGTTGTCTGATAATCTCTCCCATCACAAAACAAGTCAGCGGAGCGTAAATATATATTTGACAGCGTAAAACTGTACAAATTGACGTGAACTTAATGAAAACATAGGCGTCTTTCACAGTTTCTCTGATTAATGACGGCTAGCTGCTGCAGCAAAGCCGCAAAGCACACAGGATTATATTTACTCGATGGCGAAAATGGGAGTCTAAGAAGATTATATCTAATACAGGCAACTAGAAGAATGGAACTTCTAGCTCCCGCAACCTTTCTAGAACTTCACATTATCCCTCGACAAAAGTAAAGGGCTGCAGTTTAAGCGACCAAAATGCGGCAACGATAATAATGAATTCTATAATTGCTTGCTTCAGAATGCAGTGTGAACTTAAATTACTAAGGTGACACCTATAACGTTTATTTATAGTCCAAGAAGAATTAGTTCTCACCTCTCTTGTTCACGCGCGGGTTCGCTGGCAATCTTACGTTTTCTGTCTTTTCCACCCGGGTTTACACCACCGTTAGCTTTCATTGTACTACTCTTCCGCGATAACTTATGGCATTAGATACGTTTACATCTTCCTCGGCTAGTTACAGCGACCGACGGACCGCACAGAATTCTTCAAGTCGCCATCTTCGCCAGCACAGTCGATCTGTCAAAAATCACAACAGAGCCGTGAATTAACGCCTTCATTTGCAAACGAAATGATACCAGACATCGCCTTGGAAAGTAAGCAGCGAAATCCGTTCTTAGTTACCTGAAAGAGAGGCGAATTCGCTCACTTTAAACCTTTCAAACGGCTCGGCCTCCTAAACCCGGACTTGCGTTGCGGCCTTTGGAATCCCACCGCGAGCCCAATGCGTGATACCATGTATTGATAGCGCGGCCAAACAGACTGGGCCTGATCGCCAAGACAATAGTCGTATTGTTTTACACGTATGTTTTTCCTAGGTCTAAATTTTCCGGTAATAAATAATTTTTTGCTTCCCTCTGAAAGAATTTCTTTTGCTTCCCCTAAAAAAAAAATGCTCAGTCGTACTTTAAGAAAACGTCGTTTCTAATATTTCCTAGTTTTCACGAGAAAACGACCTGTCTAATTTAAAATTTACCCATGTTTGTTTTTGTACGTAGCTCCAGAATTGACCCTTTGCAGATAGGAATCACGTGATCCACACTTCAACGGAAACCTTTTAACTCCGTAGGTGTTCCCGGTGAGGGGTTAACTCTTCATTTAGCAAAATGGGAGACTTGAAAGAGACTCTATATGATGGGTAGAGATCATGGGCTTTTGTTTTTCAAGAAATTTTGTAGTTTATTCATTGCTGGAAGGCTTGATATAATAGGGCGCATAATTGGGAAATCGCTATCACTGTTTGAATGAATATGGTAACCAAATATTGAAACGACGAAATGTACTGTATAAAATGCGGGTACTCACTGCATTTGCATTCAGATTTCGTGATGTGGGCGCGAAAAGAGTTGTGGGTAATTGTCAAAATGGCCGGCGAGTTGCTCGGGTCAGTAGCTTGTAAAATTGACTGATTCGATATTTGCGCGCTTAATGGAGATCGAGTGTGTTGTCAAAGAAGGCTGGGCAGTAAAAGAAAGTGGACAAGCTGTGCTTGGTCAGACAAATTGGCGGAGGCGATGGTGCCGACTTGTGCGAGGTCCGCATGGGACATCTTGGTCATATTACAGGTGGTTCGATATCATCATTTATTGTTTTTTGGTACTTTTGTTAACGGCGGTAAAAACATAAGCTTACATGAATATTTGATGCAAGTTAAAGGCTTTAACGTGTACGATCATGGTCTCGAACATCATTAATATATTTATCAAAGAACGTGACAAGAACGTGAACCCGCAACCTGCCATCAAGTTTATATTGCGAAAGACTTTGGACCTTTAGCTTTATATAAAGATACCGCAGTCTTCTTGTCTCGCTCGAGTTTCCCATCTGAGCAATATTGTTCTAGTGATTTGATAACAATCGCATTACGCCTCAGAAAGCTTAAGCCTATATTTACTCAGAGGCATTTTGTTACTGACATGTGAAGGTTTCATTATCCTTGAAAAACATAGAGACGTAATCGTAAACTTAAGCTTAGATATTATAATTCTTTTGAGTGGTCAACCGTGAAATTTTTACCCCACAAGTTAGAACATTGTTTGCTTTGTACTTGTTTCCTTCCTGACTGAAACAATTTGATGTAAAATCTATCTCATTAATAATAGGGACACTATAAAAATATTCAAATTCGTGAACAGGCAAGCATTAAAATCATATGACGGTAGATCTGATGGTACATGTAGATTAAAAGTGATTAGCTCATCTGTTAAAGGTTATCTTGTAGATTTGAAATTTGGAGGTCTCTCGTCTAAATTCACCATGTCTCAAGTTCAACTCCTTTCATATAAATGGTCAAGTTATCACTGGCTAGGCTAGCTTCCCACCAGTTGGGGATCTTTATACAGTTTATGATTGAATTTGCAATGTTTGTTTGTGGTTTTACAGACACTGTGTCAACAATAATAGTTAGGCAACAGCCTGTAAGAGGGCACATACTGAAAGCTGTAATTCTGTACTGGATCGAAACATAGAAATCCCATCATTTCTATTGTTCTCCCAAAATTCCACTCATATTTCTATAACTCAACAGAAACATAGCCTGTGTCACAGCCGCCTCTCCCTGGAAAAAAAAATCAGAGATTTTTTTTACGGGGAGAGGTGGCTGTGACACAGGCTGCAGAAACAGAGAGAATGTTTTCTTTTTCTTAAGTACTAAATCCACCAATATGCTTGGTAATTGGGTCGGCTTGGCTTAGAAAATTATGTCATCAATGAAAGACCTTTTGCAGTTTAATAATAAATGATAACATCGAAGATTGTTTACTAGTTTAGGTACCGTGTTGTTTTAGTTGCTTAAGTTCCACTACATATTGTAATTGTATATTCCTTTTTTTGTCTTTATTTTTCATCAAAATACTTTCCAGTGACATCATTCACATTATCCCCTTAATGCCCAACTGTAGGACTGTAAGACTGAATGGTTAAAAATGTATGATAAAACAGTGACAAGAACCAATTTGTTGTTTATTTTATCTTGTAGGAAATTAGAAGATATTACATCAAATCAACCGGCTGGAAGAATAGAACTTGATTCGACATGTAAACCTTTGTCTAAACATAAGTATTCGTTTGTCATCTTTGCTAGAACTTTATGATATAACAGACATCAGAGAGGCAGTGAGATCTGTGAGTTTATAGGGGAATCTTTGCTGATTTTCCTCATTAGCATAAGCGAGTCAGCTTCTGATGGTGATACTGAAATATATTGAAGGGTTATATTGCATGCTTAACTGTCGCAGGGAATATGAGAGCAATGCAGTAGGTCCTTTTTGTGCCTTATGTGTGTTTAAAAACTCAATTTTAAAAAAAGAATGAATGGGCTCATTGACACACCTGGAAAGTTTGCAGTTTTTGAAAACCAGTATCTCCTTCAATATTTCACCCAAAGAGCTAAAACATTAATATTCAACATGTACTAAGTTTTACAAGCTCTTTAAAGGTTTGTTTGGAGTCAATGTTTATCTGAGACGATGCGTTCTCTACAGACAGGCAAGGCAGTTATCTCTAATAGAGTAGGCCTGAATGACCGCCACTGTGATCTTTTACGGAAACTTGCCAAAATGCAGCCAGGAAGATGGGGTAAAACCTGTGATGGATAAGCATTCTTCTTGCAGACAGAGTTACATAGCAACACTCCTAACCATATCAAGCTGCGGAAACCAGGATGAGCTCCAACAGCCATCCCAGGCCAGGCATTGGCCCCTGTGCCTCTTGTGCTTGTGGCAGTGGAACATTCCCTTATTTGACCTATTCATTCATTCATTCATTCACTCATTGTGTTTATTTGTCTTTTTACTTAATATACAGTATTTATAAATGTTTTAATGTGAGGCGAGGTGACCTCTAGAGACCATCAGGCTTTTAGTTGAGGCCACCTCGTACGTAACAATATGGTTACATAAATAGTGCAACAGTGTGCGGCTTTGCCAGTGTGGTTACTTACTTGATATGTAGCTAATATTATTATATTGTACTTGTCTTATTACATCCTTCCTCTGTCAAAAATCAGAACACATACTTCTGTTTTTACTGTAGATGCTGCACGTGAACTTGAAGAAGGGGAAAGAAAGAAGAAGCCAAACTGCTTTGCCCTTGGTCCAGTGTTTGACAATTTTGCCAAGAGAACTTATTATATCAGTTGTGGTGAGTTCCTATTGTCCCCAGTCCACCTAAAGGCTGTTCAAGATCTAAAAAACTAGCTGTCAATGAGGGCATCTGTACCTGGCTAAGATTAAATTTGATCCTTGATTAATATTTATTTCCTCCCTGCCCCCAGCCTGTGAACATAGACATATTCTGTCACTTGTCTCTGCCCACATGTGAAACAAGAGCCAGAAAAAAAACCAGTTGCTCTCATGGGCTACCCTCACAAGAATGTCCAGTTTGAATAATTATTATTAGTAGCCCTTTGCCCTGACCTCTCAACCAAAATGTATACAGTCAAGTAAAAAGCTTGAATTACTAGAAGGCAACATTAAAACTTACAATGGTTTAAGATAGTTTCATTGCTGGGGAAATAAGAAAGCCATTGGCATTTTACTCAGTTTCCATGGTAAACAAATGTTAGGAGACAGTATTAAGTAGCCCCTACTGGATGGAATACTAAAACATGACAACGTACTGAAGTTTCCTTAACAATGCTTCCTTGGGTACTCATCTTAGTATGCAGGTTCAAAACTGCTTCACTGAGCCTGGGCTTTCACACACCACACTATAATGTCATGATACCTCCCTGTTACTCCATGTATTATTTGCCAAGAAGGAAAATTAATGGTTGCTGATGAGGTTTTTTACAAGCCACATCCAGGGGAGCAGGAATGTTGCAGTGGTGAGAGTGCTCACCTCCCACGTACCATTTTAGGCTCAGGATTAATTCTGGCCCCGTGCCATATGTAGGTTGAGTTTGTTGTTGGTGCTCGCCTTGCTCCGATGGTTTTCTCCAGGTTCTCCGCTGAGGTTATAGTTGTTTTGATACCATGATTTTGGTATCAACTGATATAGAGTGGTTATAATGACCCATCAAAATCTAAGTCTTACTTACAGAAATTACCAACTGGCCTAATTGCTCCTCTTATCATAGCCCAGTACAACAGAATGCTAGTAATGATCAGGTATAAAGTAAGCTAGGTGTTTACATCAAGTATTCATTGTAATACACAGAAAGTGTGGACGACAAGCTTAGCTGGATGGAAGTGCTCAATGCTGCTACTGAATCACAATCGGAGCCTCAAGACAAATTTGACAAGGGAAGAAAAAGTGTTCGACAAAGGCTGAACAGAAGGGTGAGCCTTTTTGTAACCAAATAGCTTGAAACAGTTTGGCACTTATAAAGGGGTTTCACATGGCAAAGAAGAAAACTTTAATTCGTGTAATGTAACTGGTTTGCTGACATTTTGCTTGCAAACGGTGATGAGCTTAACTTAAACCTGCAAAAATTTGCTCGTCTCTCTCTTTTTTTTTGTCATCTGGCTTTTTGGCAGTTCTATAAATGATTGAGTAGAAAATAAAAGAAAATGGTGAACATTTTTGTAATTTAGTTTGCTACTTTTTCAACTCAAAATGACACTGGTCTAGATGCCGGTCTAGATGGGAAAATCTAGACTGCAGTCAATATCGATTTCGGCCAATCAAATTCATGAATTTGGTAGTTCCCAGTCCTTGTGAGACACAGCCATATAATAAATTTGATATTAGAAAACAACCCTGAGAAAATATGCGCACTGATTGGTTAAAAATCATGTTTCTATAACTCGATAGAAACACAGAACTAGCACAAACTGTTGACGTAATGATGGCATGAGCAAATAGAATTTACATTTTGATGATCAAAGTAAACAAGGTGTTTTCTAAAAGAAATACAAAACATGTTCTCTGTGTTTCTATCCAGTTATAGAAACACTTGTGAAAGTTTGAGAGAACTCGAAAAAGCTGTGGGAACATGAGGCGTAGCATCTCTCATTCTTCCAAACTTCCACTCGTGTTTCTATTAAATAATTAGATTATGAGCTCGAGATTTCTATCACGTGATAGTTGACGAGGGCACAGCCCGAGTCAACTATCACGCACAGAAATCGAGGGTGAATAATTTAATTATTGTTTTAGTATAAATCTACTAGTCGTTCAAAACTTTATCTAAACCCTCTTCACAGACGCTTTGAAAACGCCAAGAAGCGGCTGTCAATTGGTTAACAAGGGCACACTGCCACACTACTCACTATCTATCACAGGATAGATAGTGAGTAGCGTAGCCAATCAGAGAACAGCATTCGTGATAGAACGCTAATAGATTTATACTAAAACTCAATCGAAACATGGTACATGTTTTCTATTTCTTAAATAAAAAATGGGGGTTACCAAGCTCTTTTTTGAGTTATAAGGGCTTAATGCTAATATTAAGGGTGTTTTTAGCAGGTCACATTGTTGCTCTGGTAACCTATTATGCTACAAAGGTGACAGCAACATGTTTACCAATGATTGGGCAATTCTTTGATACCATTTTGGCATCAACTGATATAGAGTGGTTATAATGACCCATCAAAATCTAAGTCTTGGAAAATTACTTAAAAAATTAGTGCCAAAAGCAAATTTGCTCCCCAGCCCTTACTCTTAGTACATGTACGTGTAAATTTAAGGACTTTTAATTGAATTACAGCTCAAACAAAAGTGTCATACAGAGAGTATGATGATAAGTGATGAATGATACTACTTTAAACAAAAGTTAGGGCTAATGAGAGGTCAAAAGCTTTAGAAGAGTATAATATATATTGTAAGTTATGAAAACAAATAATGCAAAAAAAAAAAATGATCTACAGTGTATTCCTTCCCTACAAACAATTAGAAATGGAAAAGTTTTCTCAATCTCCTGCACCAAACCACAAGGTCTGTGGCTAATAATGCCAGGAGTATAAGTGGGAGGAAAAGCAGCCAAAGGTTGAAACTGTTCTAACTTAGGAGTAGTAGCTTGCATGTTTATTGGCTTAATAATTTTGCTCCTTTATTGATTTCATTTGGTCATTGCCGTTTCTTTATCAACAGTCCAGAAAACACACTGCTGGCAAGAAGAGGGGAAATAGTAGCAAAGAAGAAATATGTTTACATCCTCTTCAAAGGTTGGAGGTAAATGTTACTGAAGCAGCTCATTAATCCAATGTCAGTATTTACAAACGGTTAAATATTAGGTACCGTATAAACAAATAAACCACTGACTGACAAACAAATGACAAAATTAAGCCAATTAGAAACTCAGTCACACTCTGTCATCGTTTACAAATGTATGTTATATCATCCAGTTGTCAACAAAGGACATATGTGTTTAATTTATAAAGTGAAAACTCTTGCTGTGTTTCATGCAAAGCTGTAAGATAGTCAAAATACTTCATGCAAAAGCATTCAATGCTGTTAAATGCAATTTAACAAAGTTAACAACAAAGAGTAGCTGGTACCTCCAGTCAGCGGCATTCATATGGTATTGCAGGCTCAGCGCACTTTGCCAATGTACTAGCGTGTTCCAGCGTGGCAGTCCCTGTAACATTTTGGTTGTAGGATTGAGCAGTTTCCTGCACATCTTCGGTCTGTTCGTCGACATCTTTCTATGCCCCCTCCCCCCCCTCCCATCCCATTCCTGTCTCCAGCACGATGCAGTTGTTTATGTGGAAATATTTATCACCTGCACTTTCATTTTCAAGCAAAACAAATCCATTTTCATTATGAAACTTTTTGTGCAACTTGGAAGTGGTCCAGTGAACCACAAGAGACTGAGCTTTCTTTTCTTTATTCATAACTGCACTGTCTTGCTATCAAGTTTATAATAAAAGCCATGAACACAGTGAATTAACAAAGAGGTTATAAGATATCTTAAGATAACTTTCAGCATCATATCCATGGGTTGAGGTGTTTGCACACCCCCCTTCCCTACCCCACAGGAGTTGTTTACCTTCGCTTGCCTTATTCTGAAAGATCAAGCAGGCCTTTGGTTCTTGTACTCAAAATATTTCATCTCCACTGACAGTGTGCCAGGTTTCTCTCTTTTAGATAATGTTTAGGATTGTTCATACTTTGTCATTGTCTCATTTTACAGCAGTGGACAAATCTTTGTCGAATCATTGATTCTGAGGAATGGAAGAAAACTGATTCCAAGAATGGAATATCAATATCCCGGCTTAGCTTTACAAATAATGAAAAGGCAGCTGTCAAGGTAAAGATAGTCATAGATAGGCACGTAATGCGTCCAAAGGTCCGTGTGTCTACAGGTAGCTCTGCGCTCGTGTTACATACAGCACGTGTCTATAATGTTACATAACTTAAGAACTGATTATTAATAGTGACAGACCAAAAGAGAAAGCTTTTTATTTCCACCTTTTATTGGACATAGTGGGCTATTAGCTTTCAATATCAACATTTTTCCTTACCAGTTCCGTTACCAAGAAACGTTGCTGTGCTTATAATAAAATATCATAAAAAATTGTGTTTCATGTTTAAGTCTGAAAATCTGAGAAAAATTTTAGATGCCAAGCTGCAACTCTGCAGCATCTCATAGTCATCAATTTTGCAGCGATATAAAATTTGTTAGCTTATAGATTGGCCTCCCAATAGTAATCTTATTGTTAACGCAATTCTTATTTTTGCTAACCTGTGTAGCTTCTGTATTATTTATTTAAACGAAATTCTGGATATTTTTTTTTTGCCCTCGCCCAAATTTTCGCGTGACCAGCAGGCGAGTAACTTTTCGGTCGTGCGGGAATGCTTGCTAAGCAGGCTATATTTGTATTGACGCAACTGCTGTAATGAAAATTACAAAGATATGGGTACTATGTTTGAAAACGCCATTCCGTGTGGAAAGGCTCGTTTAGATTCAAAAAGATAATTTTATGCAGTCTAGAGCTTTTGAAGGGAAATGTCATAAAAACTCTGGCAGTGTCCACACTAAGCCGAAGAAATTTGAAAACGCTGCTTTATTTTTTCAGTTAGGCCTACCGTCCGCACTAATCCGTCACGAAAACGGAGCTTTTCGAAAACGGTTAGGCCTACCGTCAACACTAATCCGTGACGAAAACGGTGCTTTTCGAAAACGCTCTTCAACCCGGAGGAATTTGAAAACGCCGGCTTTTCGTTTCCTTGTGAACGGAAAACATTTTGAAAACGGAGCTTTTCGAAAACGATGACGTCACGATAATCATGTGATTTCCCTGAACGAGTTGTCCTCAAACACAAATACAAAATGACCGGTGATTGCTGCGTTTTTAAATTCCTGTGGCTTAGTGTGGACGGGGCCTCAGTGCACTTAGTTTTCCATATTTTCGATAAACGCTTTAAGCTTACACTTGTCTCTGAACAGTCCATTATCCCTCTTGCTGCCTTATTAGCATTAAGGTATGGGAAAGTCCTCCCTGTCGAGTAAACGACAGAGAGAAGCACGAAGTGCTGGAGAACCAACAAAAGGGAGGAAGGGTGGGTCGAGTTGTAATTGCCCGTGACTTGTTAGCTTAACTGATTCAGCTGCGTATCTTTAAGTTGTTTATATAACGCTACTGACGTCATCACAAGGGATCTTGAATATTCTATGAAGTTTGAATAGTCAGTCAGTTTGAAATGTATATATTTTTTTAACTACAGGTTGAGGGAGTTATTCCAGTTCCTCCAGACATTGTATATGATTATCTGCGGCTGGCAATGCAGAAAGGTGGCAAGGTGAGAGAAAATACCTTGATATGTCGGTCTTAACCCTGGTCTTAATACTAGGTGATTTATCTCTTGGTGGGGGGTGGCTTAAAGGGGTTTAAAGAAACCGTTAGAAAAAGCAATCGGACAAGACACTACTGAAAAGTTCATTTGACGGATATATTGTATGATTCTGATTAAGCGTTTTTATCTGTACCCTTTTAACCCCTAAATCCGGAAATTTCGGTAGGAGGTGAATCGGCTCAGACAATTGTGTTCCCAGAAAATCCATTCGGAAATTGTTAAGCACCTCCAGGAGTGTTCCTCTTACCGGAATGTCGGAAAAATGTCCGTGCCGCTTGAACATTTCTTTCGTTCCCAGGCTTTCTTTGGGGACCTTCGTGGGGTTTAAGTTGTTTTTAACATGACGTCGTTTAGCTGCATGTGAGTGTGGCGCTTGAACATTTCCTCCGTTTCAGGCTTTCTTTCAGGAGGACCTTCGTGGGGTTTGAGTTGTTTTTAACATGACGTCGTTTAGCCGCATGTGAGTGTGGTGTCTGTTTCTTCAATTCAAACGGACCCGCCACAGAAACGCAAGCACTTGGTCCCGGGAGACTGAATAGTGTGTCTGCCTTTATCACTCATGCTCTCCCTATATTGACCCTGTATACAGGAAACATTTCCGCTATGCGTGCATGTAGTTTTCCTGTAAGCGACAAGATCAAAACTCACTTGAAATTCATGTTTCTGCAAGCCTTGTGATCTCATAGTGACCGAAAATTTATGTAATTCTTCACAATTAAAAGAGCACCAACGACCGTGGTGTCTTCTTTGTCAAAAAATTCGATTTCGGCAACTTCAAATACTCAGTCAGCCCTTTGACTATAAACTTTGAACTTAAGTCTGCTGTTTTGATTGAAAAACCGGAATGCGAATATATCGCATCAGTTTTAAGACATCAAAGGTGAAGGTTTTCCATAAACGCATAACTGATGGTCTTAAATGAGGGTGTACTACAAGATGAAAACGACTTTTTATCATAACTGCTCTCTACTCAACATATAAAGACGCTTATATTTTCTTTTCAGCTAGACCAACCATTTCGCGGTGAAGAGGTGCTACAGAAGATTGACGGTACAGTACTATTTGTTGATTTCTCTTCCTGTTGATACGATCACTAACGGGCCATGAAAATTTAGTTATTAACGGGCTGGCCGTATTAACGGTGTAGGGTCAAATTTCATGACTGGTCTAAATTCTTTGACTTCTTAGCAGACAGATCACAATTGCACTTCTAAACAACTGTTCTTTAATAGGCATCCGTGGAATGCAGATATAACTTTTTAAAAAAATTGAAACTTCAATCAGGACATGCTTGGAATACGCGGTACCTGTTTGGAGCCCT